TGCTTCAAAATGCCTCAATGAATTGGTGATGGCATTGCAAAGCAGCTTCAATTTTTACTATCGCGAGAAGATCCAATCCAAGTCCAATTCTGAGGTCTACTTTATCTAAATACAAAAATTTATGAAGCGAAGAGTTACCATCAAATCAAGCTATAACATAAGTGTGGATTTTTAAAGGCCTGTACATGTAAATGAATCGTACCGGAAAATAGCCTGTATGACTCTGATGTTAAAGGCAGAAACAGTCTTTTGAAATACGATGCGACCCAACGCCACGCGACGTGCTTAATTCTATGTTCGGTGCGTGCGCATTGCGTCGCGTCGGATTTTCCTAAATTCTGATAATAGAAAATAGTAGATTTGATTTGACTGAACACGCGTCGCGTGGCGTCGGGTTGCGTCGCGTTTCAAAAGTCAAAGAATACCCAACAGCTCTTCTTGAAATAGTGTTAATCGTAACGTATCCAATTTTTGTAGACCAGCAATTGCTTGCTTCGAGCGGGTGAGATGTTGGTGCGGGCGTGGTTTCCCACCTCGAGAGTTAGTAAAGTGAATGTACGTCATAATGGAAAAATTTAGTACTTTCAATTACTAATTCCCGAAACGGACAGTCTTCTATCTTCTTAGAAATCCATGATGATGAAGAGAGTTTCAGAAACTTGGAAAAAAAATATTCGGATACGGCTTCCGAATTGACAGTTTTTTTTTAATTTTAAATATTTGAGAAACGTGATTTCTCAACACAATGACGTTTACAAATGTTTTCTTATTTATTTATACAATACAATGAAATACTTTTAGCCCATTTTGTTGTAGACGGATTACAAAAGATACCAGCTTTAAAGCACTGTAACACAACAAACCAAGAACGGTTCCTCTGAATCGACAAAGACGCAACATAATACACCAATAAATAAAAATTGCGTGGGATGTCACGGAATACTCGGTTGGACCGAAGTTAAAATTATTTTTAAACAACCCGCCAATGCGCACTGGGCCCGCAATTTCACTGCACCACACACGCCGCGGCACAGGTTCACCCCCACCATCTGGACACTTGGTGTTTTAGCATCTTGCGTTACGCGCGTTGGATAAGAGTGCGAAGACCCAGTCTACACACAACGCGCTAAGCAAGTACAGATATGTACATTTTCGGTCTTCGCCAAACATATTAAATACCCTAGATACACTAAGTGCCCTCAAAATGTGTCCTAATCAAGAAGTGCCTGAACGCCACTCAAGCACTTCTTGGTTCACAGTCACGCGCGGACCGTTGAAAAGTCAAGATACCGCGGAGCACCGTGAAAAATGCGAAAAAAATACTTATAATACGTAAACTGTCATTTTTTCGACAGGTATCTAATCAATGTTTGCTAATTTAACGCATTTGAAGCAAATATTGTTCTAATACTTACTTTAAACTGATTTAATAGAAAATATTTGTGATATTCAAATGCATGATCAGTCACTAATATAGCCGTCTCTTTTCCTTGCGATCCGTACCTGCTATATTGCTAACAGCGCATTCAGAATTGCGCGTAGAGTCAAAGAAATAAGGTCTATATTCTTTCGCAATAGGTCATAAAATTTTACAAGCTTGCATTTCGAATTGTCATAACTCTTTGACGTATGCGTTTTATTAAGACTTTATACAGTATGCATTAAAGGTGACTTTCAATGTTTAAATAATGCCTTATATCGTTTAACGGGATCATACGGATCTCCGTGGATCGTCCAATGTACATTTTGGACAGCTTTCGGACACGATTTAGTTCGTGTTGTTGTATCTGGGGTATTTAATATCGTTGGTCTTCGCACTCTTATCCTACGGGTGCGTGGTCTGCCTAATGCTGAGCTATGAAATAGGAGATTGAGCCATGACTCGCCACGTGGGCCATGGCTCAATCACCTTGCTCATCTCGTATATAGATATTTTTACTTTCGTTCCTACCGAGTGTTCCAGACAGTCACATTTTTTATTCAATACTCTGTTTATTACTTAATATTATTGCGCTAATTGTAATACATATTGTGTGAAGATTTTAACCAGAGTTATCCTTGAGTATGAAAGAACTCGAAAAATGGACATCATCATTAACTTCTTTAATTGTGGCGATTGTGGCGCATCATTAATCCAAACCTTAAAATGTTTGTTATTACAGGACGATAATATCGGATGCGTTATTGCGATTTGTCATCATACTTTTAATGCGTCGATAATGACAAGCCTATTTTATTGCTAGGTTATCTTATTTAAAACTATAAAGTATGATTCAATAACTTGAATCATACTTTATAAAGTTTTAAATAAGATAAGCTCATAAGTTATATTTGGCGTCCTTGGTTGTTGTTGTAGCTTTCCACGGTATATGGCTTGCAACTTGGCTTGGCTGCCAAGGTTGGCAGTTCGTGAATTTGGCGCCATACTGCTTTGCCATCAAACAAATGACTCATGCCAAGAATCCGTGAATCATCGTGTTTACAGAATACCAGTGATATAGATATAGTTTGTATTTATTAAAATGTTTCAGTCGCATTATATGTGTATGATTGAGCTTTTATTTAGTTGCGTCGGTCGTAAGGTTTTGGCTATGATATTTTCACGGTTATCCAAATGCGATTCATATGCTGATTGTGAGTTATGATGTCCTTTGTGTAATCATTGATAATTCTGAACAAACGCGTATGTTTTTACCACAGCTTAATCAGGAAAAAAGTAGAAGGATAAGCTTTAGGAAGAAAATAGTCTACATCTAAAGAAAATATTTACTATAAAAAATTAAATTAATAGCTTAATTAAATAAAATAGTCTTCATCTTCGATTTCGAAACCAAACTCGAAACAATTAAAAATTGTTGATTATAGTTATTAATTTTAATTTTATATTTTAAACTACTATTTTTGGCATATTTTCTTCTAAGGGACGACTTAGGTCCACTTACAGCAATTTTGCTAATCTCGATTTGACTAAAACTAGATTTAGCCCATTCAAGAATTACCGACCATTTGAAATTCGCTTATTTTTCGATATGATACTTTGAACATTTTCAGACCATATTTATTTTATGACTAGATTATATTATAGAGATGAGAGAATGCAGCCTCATTCGAACAAGATTGGAACTTATAATTTAGGCTCGTTATTTGGATACGTTTTCACGTAAAGTCTATTACTCGTATTAAGTAGTATTTATTGACTTGAATACATTCTGCGTATTGGAAGCAACAAAAAAAAAACATGCAGTGCGTACCCTCAATCCGTGTTCGTGCGTATACGTACGGATAGAACTCGTGCGGAAATACCATGAAAATACAGCGATGGCTTCCAATGGTCAATGACAGTTGTTCGACCAGTTTCAATTCGATTTTGCGAATTCGGCTGCATTCCAAACCTAGTCCTAAACTTACGCTCCAGGTGCAAAAAATGACAAATTTGGCATAAGTTTTATATATATTGTGTCAAAACTTAAACGTCAGGGTAAAAAATTGCACTCAGAGCGTTAATTTGGCACTCAGAATGTATTTAGTTGGAATGCAGTTCGTCTGATCATCTGTCATCTCACAAATTTGCTCGATTTATCACTCACTATTAGTTCTTGGTTTGGAAAAACAAAATTTGATTGTACAAACCAAGCACTAATAGAAAAAAAAACAAAATTTTATTGTACAAACCAAGCACTACTTACTATTGAAGGAAATCGTGCGAATTTGTTACATCCACACGTATAGATCAAGAGCCCTTGCAGTCTACAGGTATTTAATCGGTCTATAGTTTAGTTTACTCCAGTTAAATTCAGAATTTATTTAGAGTTTGTGTCAAATTTGGTATTTCTGATTTTTTGCAGACTCGTTTATGATGATGGCCTAATGAATAATCCAAGTTTATGGCCTAGAGCGCCAAACGCAACTTTCTCAAAAATCGAAAAATTCGCAAATATTTCCTCTTTTTTTCAGACTTTGACGATTTTAACCCCAAAAGGCTAGTTTTTGATAATACTTTTTCCAAGTTGTTTTTAAAGCGGACTAAATTTGCTACACTATGGGACTAAAATAGTCGCTGCAACCGCAATAGTTTTATGACATAACTACTTGCGCCCTACATTCGAGGTCACAATCTTTGATTAATCATCAGGCAGACATCATAAACAAGTTTGCAAAAATACAGATTTGCTTCATTTCAACCTTGGTTCCGAGTTGTGCGTCAGGTGAAAATGTGCAGGAATATTTTCTGTGCTTTTAGTGGGTAGGACCTTGCTAATTTCATTGACCCCTCCAGTTGGGTGAAATGAGCAGGCTCCTACCTACTTACATCACCTCCGCAGATTGGATTTGTTGCAACTCCTGGTAGCGAGGAAAGCGTCACGTTTTTCAGAGACCGAAAAAAAGGGTGTAAAGCAAGTGAATTCATGTTGCTCCTGGCTGCACACATCAGCGTGTATGTGAATGGTGCAAGAGTTGTCTGTGAGTCAAAGGCGAGGTCACAACACGGCTTTGCAGTGTCGCACTGTAGAAACAACGCATCGTGGAATTACGCGAAACGCTGCCGGTCGTTATGATTTTTTTTTTGTGTTGCGTCATTGCATCGTATTGAGATACGACATCGCGACGCAGCGCTGTGACCTCGCTCTAAATTGGCAGGGAGGAGTCCTCACACATCCTCGGTACAACTTCCGAAGAAGACGTCACGCCTTTCGTAGACATTAAAAAAGGCAAAATCTCGGAGGCAGAGGCAAGGGCGGATCCAGCTTTGGCGCCAGGGGGGCGTCATATAGTAGTGGTCAAGTCACAGTGGGTACAGATTTTGAAGTACAGATTGTGAAGTGGGTACAGTTGGACCCGGCCCAGGGGGGGTCATGACCTCCATGACCCCCCCTCTCGATCCGCCCTTGGGCAGAGGTCCCCGAGATGCGGTGCAGGGAAGAGCAACTGCCAAAGAAAGGCGTCACGCGTTTCGTAGACTTTAAAAAAGGGGTGTAGGTAAAGCGAAGCGTTGTGCGTACCTAACTCACCGTCGTGCATCGGGTCGATGGTGTGTATCATGAGCTGCAGCAGCCCGTGGCGGAACTTGGCAGCGGGCGGCGGCGCTCTACTCGGCCCCGCCCCCGCTGTCGCTGTGTTCGTGCCCACCGACGTCTCGCTGGACGTCGTAGCGTTGCCGTGCTACGGAAAAAAACCGTTGGTTAATTTCTAATTCAATATTCCGCGACGATTCTGTAAGATACGAGTACAATCTCTAAAACCTACGATCTCATTTCGGTCTTTTTGACAATTGGAAAATATCTAAAACGCAAGCGTGGCATACGTCAAACCGACCCGCCTCAGACCAGCCGCCTTCCGTGAAATGACCTCCTCACAGAAGGAGACCACTACCTGCCAGGATCTGTCACTTCCCAGCATGACCCGAACCACACTGGGGAGCGAGAGATCCATCCCCACTGTGCCTGTCAGAGTGCCGCGCTGCTGCGCTCACGACAAGACGGGGTCGCCTCTCTCCGACTCCGGTGCAGGAATCTACCGAAGCATCCATGCCCGGTAAGAACCTGCACCAGACGGAAGGTCAATAACCCGAACTTGTGGGACACCCAGTCCCTGAGAAGCGGGTGCAGAGCGTCTAGGGTTCGGAGTCCGCTGCCATCTACCCATCAGGTCCTCCTCCACCTGACGACGGGTCTGCGCCATCTCCCCCGGGGCCAGTCGTTCCCCACGTGCCATTGCGAGTGTCCGTGCCTCGTACGCCTCCGATAGAACTCTAGCATCGAATTTCCACGGAGGCATACCAGCCAGCGTGCAGGCAGCTGCCCAAGAGACGGTTCGGTACAGCATACAAAACCTAACGTTTTGTATACCTCTGGTACATGAAGAATGGGTAATTACAACAACTTTGATTGTAGTTAGAAGAAAGATCAATAAACAAGGTTGTAAGCTTCTTTTATATATTTACAGCCAGTACCTTCAGTTCTCAATAAGGTTTCAGATAGTTAGCCAATTATAACACTATCTTAGTATGTAGTTATCAACCTGTTATTCAAATAACAGATACGTAGGTATTAGGTACTTTATCAGCAAGTCATTTTGCCGAATGTCGTGTGTTCGATGTAAATAAAACGGTATATTGTTTGCAACAGAGGAAAAGTCTGAGTAATTTTAATCTTTATTGAGATCATAATTACGTACGTGTCGATTTTGTGCTCTGATAAAACGGAACTGGTACATGATTAAGCACGCTAAAATGATTAACGTAGATTATTGAAGTGAAACTTGTTTTTGGACGGGGTGTAAATGCAAAAATCCTATAGAAAAAATGAAACCGAAGTGCATCACGAGCGTCACACGACTATATATATATAAATATATACACATATATATATATATATATATATATATATATATATAGGGTGAAATTGAATGTTTCTATGAAACTTCGTGAGATTGTTGGGTTATGTGTATAGAGTATGCCTGTTTTTTTTCGGATTTTTTTGAAGTATATTTTTTTCATGTCATCATCAGCCTATTAATGTCCCCACTGCTGGGGCACAGGCTTCCCTATGGATGGAATAGGGAGATTGGGCCATGACCCACCACGCGGGCCCAGTGCGGGTTGGTGGGTGCTAACGACTGCAGATGCAGCCGGGACCAACGGCTTAACGTGCCTTCCGAAGCACGGAGGAGCTCGAGATAGTAAATTATGGTCACCCATCCAATGACCGACCACTGCGAAAGTTGCTTAAATTCAACGATCGCTGCGGAACGCGCTAACCACTTGCGTCATCGAGCTCCTCATTTTTTTTTCATGTATTTATTTATAATTTGTGTATTTTTATGTCCTTTCCTCCTTTTGAGTAGTTATTCATTTTAAACAAACAAACTAACATATCCAGTGAAAAACAACTAATAAATAAGCACTTCTAAAAAACGGAAAAACATTAAAATTCCACCGCGGGTCAACGACCGACCGCGCGCGCCAGCCGTTGAGTGAGTAGGTATCACTACACAGAGCTCAGCTGACTCGTTTGATTCCACACAATACAGTAAAATCGTCTTAGATGCCTTTATTGAAATTGAAATAATAAGCACAAATGTCATCTTCTCTTAAGCAGAGAAAAGCTTTAAAAGTTAATAATAATTTTGTCACGATTGGAAATAGGCAAATGTTAAACAAAAAGAAATACTTATTGCAGTTCAATACTTGGGTCAGAATGAAATTTATAACCAGGTATTCAAAAGTACTTCCGAGACCGGCGATATAGGTAGGTACAACGAGGAACGAGGAACATATTCATTTTTTTCACTAGAACTTTTTATCAAATCAATCACACTGGTAGTGCACAATTAGTTGTTTCTAATCAAAAAGTATTTACACTAGCAATAAAAATAGACTTAAATTATTATCTGCAAAATTGTTGCTCTAAACCACCATTTTGCTGCAAACAAAGGTAGGCATGTTTGCGGACGTGTCTTTTCACCTTTTTTAAAGTGTCCCTATCACTACTCACTGCACAAAATGCAACTTCTATGGTTTGGGGACTCATTCGTAAACCAAACCTACTTCGTCACACTCGCGATACCAGTACACCATCTCTAAATATTCTTGGTTCGTATACCGAGGCATAATGAAATTATCACAGTGTATGTCACTAAGTCAAAAGATGCGCACGCCCACGCGCGATTGATATACTTGCGACTGCGTTTTGCATGCAATCAAAGCAAACCACCGCGTGCGGGGAAGAGGGGAGGTGGGCGGAATTCACATCATCAAAGACGCCGCAACCGACGCTAGTTGCCAGCGTGCGGCGCGCCGCCCGCCCGTGCTTGCCGCAAAACAACATATTATTATGTGTGTGTGTGTGTGTGTGACTGTGGCTGTGATTAAATGTGTTGGGAATTTCATGACGTGGGCAAATTAGACACGCAAAGTTCCTTCCTTCACTAAGCTCGTAAGTTATACCTATTTGCTCTGTATGATTTTTCCCCATTTTAAATAAGCCGTTTGTGCTAAGTTTTAATTAAACGAGGCAACTAACATTAACAATAAAAAAGAAGTTCTTACACTAACAGACAGACTAAAAAACGAAAAATTTTATTTTAAAAAATCCGAAAAAAATCAGGCATACTCTATACACGTAACCCAATAATCTCACGAAGTTTCATAGAAACATTCAATTTCACCCTGTATAACCCACCCCACACAACACACACATATATATATATATATATATATATATATATATATATATATATATATATATATATATATATATATATATGTGTGTGTGTCTGTCTGTGTGTGTGTGTGTGTGTGGGGTGGGTTTGCAGCTCTTCCAGACGAGCATGAAAGTTGGAAGGTAATTCGGCGATGGCTGAAACGGTACGAGCGTCACACGCGACAATATATTATGTATATACACATACATATATATGAGTGATACGTGCGCTGCTCCATTCCCCTACGCCTCATGCACCGCCTAATGTTAGGCTATTTAAGAAAAGAGGTTTCACTTCAGATGTGTGGTCTGTGCATACTAATTTTTTTCAAGTGTAGCTCATATGAAATGGCAGGTAATAGTAGTTCCTACTTCTAATTAACGAACGAATTTTAAAAGCTCCAAAACCGAACTTAAGAGCACTTTTATAAAATTGCGCCGCTGCCGTGCTGTTCGGCGCGTAGGTATATTTTCACTAGTATATATAACATTTTACGGGTGATGTTTCGAGTCTTATAAAATAATTATTAATGAACTAATTATAAAAATATATACATATTTCAGTAGTTCAATGATGGTAGATTAGTTTTATGAAAGTTTTTGATAGTAATTATTCTATGTCAAAATACGAGGTAAACCTGCATTATTTTTTGGGAAAACTCACGGAGGTGAGATGTTTTTTTTTGATAATTAATGAGATGGAAAATCAAAATTCTAATACATTATTTTACAAAAAACATATTTCTGATGTCGTAGTAATTAATTTGATCTAATGTATTGAACATTATTGAGAGATTGAGGCGTTTGAAGTTGTGAATATTATCCTTTTTTTCCGTAAACTAGCTGCAGTAGAACGATCAGTACCAAAAAATTAAAATAGTATATGCAAATATTCTACATTAACTTACAATAGGAGGAATAAATCTACTGTTAACTTTTATTGGAATAAGTCAAAATCTTTTCTATGGGGGTAAACGATGCGCTCAAAAATTAATTTTTTTTGCAAAAAATGTGAAAGGACTCTTAAGAACGGACGCGAACTGAGAGACATTTGAGAAATATGTATTTGAAAAAACTATTTTTGTCACGCATTGACAAATACCGTCCTATAGGCACAACAGTAGCTAACGCTGAAATATGCGTGTGAAAATTGCAAAAATAGAGGTTTGGCTCTCGATAAAAATTTTAAGTATAGGTATGTAAAAGAAATTTTACCCATAGAATAATAAGTAGCTATACTTAGGCCTCTATGTTTTGCAGCTTAGTAGTGCTGTCCTGCAAAGAGGGGGGCGGCGGAGGGAGCTGCATGGGCACGCCCAAGTAGACCTCTGCAGCGGACGGGGGGGCGGTGGGCACTAGGCCGCGTACTCAGCCTCCAAGCGCGGGCCATCCTGTGCACGTCTGCGGGGTCCCCGCGGTACCCCGGGAGACCCCTGCCGCGGAGCCCCGGCAAGGCTAGGAGGCTGCTAGGTGCGGAGACGCGGAAGAATCCCTAAACGGGGATCCTGCGGCTTCGCGCTAAGCAGCTGAGAGAGTGTTCGCAGGGTTTTTTAGCAGATATTATGCCGTAAGGGTTACGGGGTCCTCAGTAGGCAGCCACTGCTGGGGCTCGTAAGGCTTGCGGGAGCCAGGTGTGAGGTCCGTTCGGCGGTGTGCCTCTTAAAGGCGCCGTCGTCTGTAAATAGTATTTTTTGCCTGCGCATAAAAAAAAGGCCTATTTGCTTTCTTTGTAAATGCTTACTGAATCTCCACACTAGACATCTTTAGTGGTGATAAAAATTTGATATTTTTGAGGGCTTCTAGTTTCTTTGAAACACAAGTTATCGAAAAAAGGAGGACATAGGAGCATAGAATGTGTAAAATTATATTTTATGAATGAAAATCTTTTTTTTAATGATTGAAATCAAGGAGGAATCGGCTGTGAACGTTTGTATGGAGAGAACATTGCCCGCCCTGTTGGCGAC